CCCCAAAACCCCAAAACCCCAAAACCCCAACAGGTATATAAAGCCAGATCTTGAGAGAATTAATAATTAATAATTTAAATGAGATCAAACTTAAACTAAAGTTCAGCAATGAGTCACTAATTCCCTCTTTAGCAAAGTGTGAAGATGGATAACTTCATGGGTAATGATACTGCTGGTATGAAGATGTAACATCTAAACAATGGTAGAAGATAAAACCCACATGATGTTCAAAGAAAGGACAATCAAAACTTGAGCAATATCAGGGACTTTGACTTAGGCGGAGGAGGAGATCCAAATGATCAAGCCAATTTTCAGCTCAGTAAGAATTTACCATATCTTTTAAAGATACTTTTTAGGTACCTAAGTAGGTAAACTTATACATCAGCAGCTATAGCAAAGCCTATAACAATATCTAGAGGAATTTAACAGCAATGGGAATATGCTTGATGGTAGCAAGCTATAGGATCAGATTGAGAACCAGGTATTCTAGAGTGAACAGTTCTTGCAGATGCAAGAGAAGATGTCTTCTTATTTTAATGAAAAATCTTAGGAGAACGCATTCAAAGGAAAGCAACTTCTCAATCAAATGGACTAACTGCTTACAGACATGAGAGGCCTCAATGAATCTATCCAAACATAGAACAAGAAAGCTAAGACTGCTAAGCAAAATCTCAAGAAGAATGGACAGACTGATTAGAAGGATGATGAATCAGGCATCGTAGATATTACTGAAGCCCTAAGGAGCTATAAACTAAGAAGTGAGATAGAAAGAGCATTTTTCTTTCATTTGTTCTATGAGATCTTGAGGTAGTAGTTTGGTCTAAAGGGTACACCTAAGGAGAAGGACATATTTGAGAGAAAAGGTAGTTAAGTGGACATATCTACTATTATAACATCCAAGGATATCAGATCTGTAATTGAGGGTAGAGAGGCTTATGAGAGAGCCTCAGAAGAGTAGAAGAAGAAATGGTTGAGATAAAGAGAGTAGAGAATCGTCTATCATGCAAATGCCCACCATAATAATGAAAATTAAGATACCAATCCTAAGAAAGTTTAGATTAAAGCTAAGGATAACTACACTGATGATGAGGCAGATTAACAAGAAGAAAACAAAGGTAATTAGAACAGAAATCAGAGAGGTCCAAGTAATGCAATCTAGAGAGTGAATGATACTGCTGCTATAGATAAAAGATCAACTTCATTTATGGATAGCTTTAACTAGACTGCAGGAAAGAACAACAACTACTCAAACGTTAACAGCTCAATGTTTAATGGATTTGGCATGAATTCCAATTGCTCGAGCATGAAGTAAATGTTTCAAAGCAGCGTTAAACCTAATATTTCTTCCACCAAGATGGGTAATTTCAATGAAAGCTACTGCAGTATGAACAACAACTTCATGAGAGATTAAATGCCTTCAAGTAATCCTTTGGTCAAGTTCATGTGAGCACAATCATTTTGCTTGCAGTTGAGACATCACTAACTATAACTATAGTATGATTAAATTGTATAAGTTATCATTATTATATGGTAAATATATTTGACTTAATGCTTTAAATTTCCAGATATATGGTCATGGGGTTTTGGGGTTTTGGGGTTTTGGGG